TGGGTCTTGTTTTTGTATCCATTCAGCCAGTCTGTGTCTTTTGGTGGGAGCATTTAATCCATTTACATTTAAGGTAATTATCGATATGTATGTTCCTATTACCATTTTCTTAATTGTTTTGGGTTTGTTATTGTAGGTGTTTTCCTTCTCTTGTGTTTCCTGCCTAGAGAAGTTCCTTTAGCATTTGTTTGTAAAGCTGGTTTGGTGGTGCTGAACTCTCTCAGCTTTTGCTTGTCTGTAAAGGTTTTAATTTCTCCATCAAATCTGAATGAGATCCTTGCTGTGTAGAGTAATCTTGGTTGTAGGTTTTTCTCCTTCATCACTTCAAATATGTCCTGCCAGCCCCTTCTGGCTTGCAGAGTTTCTGCTGAAAGATCAGCTGTTAATCTTAGGGGGATTCCCTTGTGTTTTATTTGTTGTTTTTCCCTTGCTACTTTTAATATTTTTTCTTTGTATTTAATTTTTGATAGTTTGATTAATATGTGTCTTTGTGTGTTTCTTCTTGGATTTATCCTGTATGGGACTCTCTGTGCTTCCTGGACTTGATTAACTATTTCCTTTCCCATGTTAGGGAAGTTTTCAACTATAATGTCTTCAAATATTTTCTCAGTCCCTTTCTTTTTCTCTTCTTCTTCTGGGACCCCTATAATTAGAATGTTGGTGCATTTCATATTGTCCCAGAAGTCTCTGAGACTGTCCTCAGTTCTTTTCATTCTTTTTTCTTTATTCTACTTGTGTTAGTTATTTCCAGTATTTTATCTTCCAGGTCCCTTATCCATTCTTCTGCCTCAGTTATTCTGCTGTTGATCCCTTCTGGAGAATTTTTAATTTCATTTATTGTGTTGTCATTGTTTGTTTGCTCTTTATTTCTTTTAGGTCCTTGTAAAGCGTTCCTTGTATTTCCTCTCTTTCCAAGATTTTGCATCATCTTTACTATCATTATTCTGATTTTTTTTTCAGGTAGACCGCCTGTTTCCTCTTCATTTGTTAACTCTGGTGGGTTTTTGCCTTGCTCCTTCTTCTGCTGTGTGTTTCTCTGTCTTCTCATTTTGCTTATCTTACTGTGTTTGGGGTCTCCTTTTTGCAGGCTGCAGGTTCGTAGTTCCCATTGTTTTTGGTGTCTGTCCCCAGTGGCTAAAGTTCGTTCAGTGGGTTGTGTAGGCTTCCTGGTGGAGGGAACTAGTGCCTGTGTTCTGGTGGATGAGGCTGGATCTTTCTGGTGGGCAGGTCCACATCTGGTGGTGTGTTTGGGGTGTCTGTGGCCTTATTATTATTTTAGGCAGCCTGTCTGCTAATGGATGGGGTTGTTTTCCTGTCTTGCTAGTTGTTTGACATAGGGTGTCCAGCACTGTAGCTTGCTGGTCGTTGAGTGAAGCTGGGTCTTGACATTAAGATGGAGATCTCTGGGAGATTTTTTCCATTTGATTTTACGTGGAGCTGGGAGGTCTTTTGTGGACCAGTGTCCTGAAGTTGGCTCTCCCACCTCAGAGGCACAGCCCTGATGCCTGGTTGGAGCACCAAGAGCCTTTCATTCACACGGGTGAGAATAAAAGGGAGAAAAAAATAGGAAGAAAGATAAAATATAATAAATTTATTAAAATAAAAAGAAAATTAAGAAATTTTTAAAAGTTAAAAAAAAATGGTCAGACAGAACCCTAGGACAGATGGTAAAAGTGAAGCTATACAGACAAAATCACACTCAGAAGCATACACATACACCCTCACAAAAAGAGAAAAAGGGGGGGAAAAATATATATATATATATACATACATATATATATCTTTGCTCCCAAAGTCTACCTTCTCAATTTGGGATGATTCGTTGTCTATTCAGGTATTCCACAGATGCAGGGTACACCATGTTGATTGTGGAGATTTAATCCGCTGCTCCTGAGGCTGCTGGGAGAGATTTCCCTTTCTCTTCTTTGTCACATAGCTTCCGGGGTTCATCTTTGGATTTGGACCCGCCTCTGTGTGTAGGTCGCCTGAGGGCGTCTCTTCTTCGCTCAGAGAGGACAGGGTTAAAGGAGCAGCTGATTCTGGGGCTCTGGCTCACTCAGGCTGGGGGGAGGGAGGGGTACGGAGTGCGGGGCAGGTCTGCGACATAGCTTCCGGGGTTCATCTTTGGATTTGGACCCGCCTCTGTGTGTAGGTCGCCTGAGGGCGTCTCTTCTTCGCTCAGAGAGGACAGGGTTAAAGGAGCAGCTGATTCTGGGGCTCTGGCTCACTCAGGCTGGGGGGAGGGAGGGGTACGGAGTGCGGGGCAGGTCTGCGGCAGCAGAGGCCATCATGACTTTGCACCAGCCTGCGGCGTGCCGTGTGTTCTCCTGGGGAAGTTGTCCCTGGATAATGGGAACCTGGCAGTGGTGGGCTCTACAGGCTCCCGGGAGGGGAGGTGTGGATAGTGACCTGTGCTTGCACACAGGCTTCTTGGTGGCTGTAGCAGCAGCTTTAGCATCTCATTCCTATCTCTGGGGTCCGCGCTGATAGCCGCGGCTCGCGCCCGTCTCTGGAGTTCCTTTAAGCAGTGCTCTTAATCCCCTCTCCTCACGCACCAGGAAACAAAGAGGCAAGGAAAAGTTTCTTGCCTCTTCGGCAGCTCCAGACCTTTAACCAGACTCCCTCCCTGCTAGCTGTGGCACACTAGCCCCTGTGTTCACGCAGCAACCCCAGTCCTCTCCCTGGGATCTGACCTGCGAATCCCGAGCCTCAGCTCCCAGCCTCCACCCGTCCCGGCAGGTGAGCAGAAAAGCCTCTCGAGCTGGTGAGTGCTGGTCGGTACCGATCCTCTGTGCGGGAATCTCTTCGCTCTGCCCTCCGCACCCCTGTTGCTGCGCTCTCCTCCGCGGCTCCGAAGCTTCCCCCCCACCCGCCACCCGCAGTCTCCGCCCGCAGAGGGGCTTCCTAGTGTGTGGAAACCTTTCCTCCTTCACAGCGCCCTCCCACTGGTGCGGGTCCCGTCCCTATTCTTTTTTTCTGTTTTTTCTTTTTTCTGTTGCCCTACCCAGGTATGTGGGGAGTTTCTTGCCTTTTGGGAGGTCTGAGGTCTTTTGCCAGCATTCAGTAGGTGTTCTGTAGGAGTTGTTCCACGTGTAGTTCATTGTATATCTGATGTATTTGTGGGGAGGAAGGTGATCTCCACGTCTTACTCTTCCGCCATCTTGAAGGTCCTCTCAGAATGTCAATTTTAAAGCTTCCTGTCCCTCCGAGATCATTTCTTTTTATATCTCTTGTCATATTTTCTTTATGGTTTTTCTATTCTCCCTTAATAAAGTATGGATTATGTGTCTGATTTGCAGCTTCTTTTCTTCCTAATGGATTCCAGATTCCTTCCATATATTCTTATTGAGCATGTAGCATATCCTAAAAATTATTTTTAAAAAAAATAAATCTTACTTGTTATTTGAGCTATTTATTTTATCTGCTTGTTTGCTTTTTGATATTACCTCAAAATATCTATGTCATTGTTACCTTGAATTTGTGTCAAAAGTATGTTGTAGCTGTTTATACTTGCATCAGTTTCTAGTTAGGAAAAATTTTCATTTTTTCAGAGTTTTTCTTAATAAGAAGGCAACCCAAGGTTTATATTCATTCCTACCAATAACCATATCACTCAAAAATTTTATTCATGTATTTGTATCTGAAAATAGATTTCAGAGACCCACTGAAGACAACAGTTTTATCCTTTTAAAATGCAATGAGATAATATAGACTGGAAAATTATTACATCTTTCATGTGTTGCACTCTGTATTTTCCCATGCTTCTCAGTTGAATAACAAATCTGATACAGTGAAGTCATATAATATCTTTTCCCCTTTAGATGGACACTTTTGTAAATCCACTTCGAAATTCTATGAGGAATGTTTCAAATGCAGTTAAATCCCTTCCTGATAGCTTCGCAGAGGGAATGACTAAAATGTCAGACAACATGGGCAAAATGTCAGAAAGATTAGGTCAAGACATAAGGCAATCATTTTTCAAGGTAAGATGTTTTCAGTAATGCCTAAAGGAAACTATTTTTAGGTCAACTAAGATTTACTGAGCTCCTGCTTAGATTTACCTTATTTTCCTTTATAAGTCCAAAGCCCTGTAGACACATAGTCTCATAAAGAATTAAAAAACTAAAGAGAATTAATTCTTATCGAAAATGGATACTGTAAAATCCAGTCACTCTTCAGTCTCTGCTACAGTAGAATTTTAAAATCCATTTAAAGCACGTACTTAAAATTAGTAAAGTTAACATTCTTTGTACTGTTTTATTCCATTTAGCCATGTTTATTCTATAATGTTATTAAAATTTATAACAAAACAGGTATGTGCTGTTGTATAAATTAGTTTTACTAGTATTCATCAGCAAAGATAAAGTCTAATTTCTCCTGAGTCACACGATCAAGATTCATGAGATCAAAGAGAGGAAAAGTCTTTCAACATCATCAATCTCTGCAGCCATATCTTACTGTGTATATACCTGTGAGAGGCATAGAAGAGTTTTCCTGGGAAGCTTTTTCATTACGCTAGCAGAATAGGTAGTTGACCAAGTAGTTTTTTGCTTCCTAATTTACATTTTTAAAATAATTTTGACCTAGTTGTTTAAGGTAATAATCAAGACTATAAAAGAAATCATGTAACTATTAGAATGTTTCAGTGAAGAGGAAATATATATAAACACTGATAGAACTTCTTTATTGTAAGAGGCAACTCCTGAAATACAGTGTGTGTAAATCATACTTTCTGTTGATTCTCATACCTTTTCTGATGTTTCATCTTAATTTCTAATCATGGGGAAGTACACTAACACTGAAGTGAGGGTTGTCTTGTGCCACTTCTGCTGATAGCTACCCATATGACTTCATACAAGAGTCACTGAACTTTTCCAGGCTTCTTTTTCCTCACCAGTAATGTGAAGGGGTTATAATAGGTGATCTTGATGGTCCTTCCTGTGCTGAGAAATGGTTATCAACTAGCCCTGGTCTTTCTGTCCTTTTCCCCATAACTAACATTATATAACAGTCAGTTAATTAGTTCCTTTAAGCCTCTTAGCATACTGTCACGCTCTTTATGGTAAAGAAAAAAGATTGGAGTTCTGTTCCCCTACTGTGCTACTAACTTTTGGTCTTTAAATCATTTAATCTTACTTAGCTTTAAATTCTAAAAAGTATGGGAGTTTGAGTAATATCTCCATCCACCCCCTTTTTAAAGGAAAAAAAATCTGTTGGTAATGAAATAATTACCCTTTTATATTGGGTTTCTAACTGTAGATTGTCAATACTTTGTTAATGCTATATAAATTTTGTTTATATATTGTCCCCAAAATCAAATCAAATGCTGTTCATTATATTTGATACTACTAATTTTTGTTATTGTATTGTGTTCTTTCATTTTCTGCTTTAGTGTGTTTACTTTGTTTTTTGTTTTTTTTAAATATTAGGTTCCTCCTTTGATTCCAAAGACTGATTCAGATCCTGAACATTGTCGAGTTTCAGCTCAACTTGATGATACTGTGAGTTAATTTTATTTTGGTAGCATTCAGTTGAAATTCACATCATACTTGGCAGATCTTTTTAACTTTTTAATAAAATATAATATGTATATCTGTCATTAATGTACATATATTGTAAACATTAAGTTTGATGAATTCTTACAAGCTGAACATATCCATGTAATCAGCACTATAAACAAGAAACAGAACATTGCCAGTACCCCAGAAAACCCCTAATGCTCTCTTCCTGTCACTATCCTCTCCCCTGCCAAGGATAAACACTATCCTGACTTCTACCCTGCATTTATACTTTATATAAATGAAACTGTGAGGTATGTACTCCTTTAAGTCTGGTATTTTTTGCTCAACATTGTGATAATCTTCCATGTTTGTTTCGTGTGACTGTGGTTTCTTCATTTTTGTGGCCTTACAGTCCGATTTTGTAATTATAGTATAATTACATTTTGTAAATATAGTACAATATATTTGCTATATTACAAACTGTACCCCTGTGAACATTCTGGTACTTGTCTTTTGATTAAGTAAATAAGTACATATTTCTTTCTGTACCCAGGAATGGAATTGCTTGGTCAGAGGTTATGCAAAAATTCAATTTTAATAGATACTGTCAAATAATTTGCCGAAGTGTGTGTACTGCTTCCGCTGCCATCAGCAGTGCATGAGAATTAGTGGTTCACAGCCTGCCAAAACTCAATATGTTATGCCTTTTTAATTTTAGCCATTCTCTTTGTTGTGTCTCATGCGGATTTCCATTTCTCTGATGACTGTTAAAATGTTGAACCTCTTTTCATAAGTTTATTGGCCATTTGGGTGTCCTGTCTTACATGTCTATCTCTTTCCCCCATTTTTTTTCTGTTGGCTTGGTTGTCTTTGATCAGTAAGAGTGCATTGTATAATCTGAATATTGTATCTTTGTCAGATATAAGTATTTGTGTATTGTGAATATCTTCTACTTTGTGTGCTTTTATGCTCTGTGTACAATCTGTGCCTACTGCAAGGTCACAAAGATGTTCTCCTATGATTTTCTTTAAAAATTGTTTTTGTTGGGCTTCCCTGGTAGTGCAGTGGTTGAGAGTCTGCCTGCCGGTGCAGGGGACACGGGTTCGTGCCCTGGTCCTGGAAGATCCCACATGCCGCAGAGCGGCTAGGCCTGTGAGCCGTGGCCGCTGAGCCTGCACGTCCGGAGCCTGTGCTCCGCAACGGGAGAGGCCACAACAGTGAGAGGCCCGCGTACCAAAAAAAAAATTGTTTTTGTTTACCGTGCCAAAACTTAGATTTGCCATTCATCTAGGATCAATTGTTGTGTATGGAATGAGGTGGGGGTCCAGTTGACTTAAGCACCATTTACTGAGAAGACCCTCTTTTCTCAGTTTACGTTTCTCCCTTGTCACAAACCTTTTTATTTTATATATTTGGGTCTGGGCTTTATATTCTATTCTATTAGGCAGAGTTATTTTAAAGTTATAATTATCTCTCTTCAGTTTCTCATTGAATTTCTTTATAATAAACTGTCTTAAAGATAATATTTTTGTTTTTTCAAGAATATTTTAGAACGTTTATTATGCATTGTACTGTTGTAATATCCATAACATTATACTTTTTGTTAAGGGTTTTTACAATTTAACTGTTTATTAGAATTGTCATGTGGCATTAGACTCATGACTATACTTGATCAGAGAATAGAGCAGTAGTGATTTTTGCCTCCAAAGTGGTTAAGCTATTGAAAAATATGTGAGAGAGAAGGTATGCTAAGAAAATGTTTACAACACAGTGAAAAATGTATGACTCATGCTGTTTTCTCATGAAGAAATTTAAGTATTTAAATTACAACATTGATGAGGAAATAATTGGAAAGAGTAGCTTAGTGATGAAAGAATTACAAAATTACTGGCAATTATGCAGTTTTGTTGCATATCTAAACCTTCACCCTATTATTTATTGATATATTTCAACATCAAAGCATTCTAGTTGTCTTTCTTTACTTTTTATATCATTAATTGAATATTCCCATGATGAAGGTGTACAGATTTTTACTTCTTAAAAATAAAAAGAAAATTCTAGTAATCTAGTTGCCTTTTGGAATGTTAGCTGGATTTTATTTCAGCTTCTTTTTCATGAAAATACCTATATACATACAACGCAGTAACCGAGCAAAACAGATTGCTCTGTGTAGATTGTATTTTGTTCTATTAAATAAAGAGAAATGTTGAGAATATTTTGTTCATTTGAAAAAGATGCCACAGAGAATAGGCAAAGGGGCTAGCCTTTGCCTTATAAACTAATACAGACTCTACTGCAAGATCCCCAATCATATTTTCCTAAGACCATCATGAATCCAGTTTGAGAAGTTTTTTT